AAGTGTAAAGTCTGCTCTACAAAATATACTATACTTCAAGTTTTGGAGCTGCATTATAGAATTCAACCATACTAAAATGACAGTACAATATACTAGTAAGATTTCCTAAAATGTTTTCTCTCCTACAAAAATCCTACTAAAACGAATTATTTTGACAAAACCAATATATTTCTGATGACATGCTTGAAAGTTGAAAATTAAAAAGAAAATTTTCTCTATCTGCTAATTAATATTAATTAAGTATAATTATTATTAATTAATTAAAATTAATAATATTCAAAACGTGCTTTTTACCAAAATATAGCCCATTCAATTTTGCATCGAATGATATATAAAAAAGTTTGTAATAATTATTTAGTAGCGAAATATTACTAAATGTTAAAAGTGCTCTAAACTTTTGCCTGCTAGGAAAAAGTAGTTTCCATCATTAATATTCCAACAATATACCTTAAAGAATTTTGACTTCACAGGCTTGTAGCCGGTTTCGAAAGCTATCGAAATCACTATTTATGTGTCCTCAATAAGCTGTGTTTCATAGAAAAAAATCGCAAAATAAAAAGTGCTCCAAACTTTTGTCTGCCACTTTATAAAGTTTTGTAGAGCTCGACGAGCTCTATTGAACCATGTAAAAGTATCAAAAGAAAATAATTTGTGTGTGGGCGGGGTGTCACAATCTGGTGTTTCCATATCCTTGCGATCAAATATGTTTTGTTTTGATAGCGAATCAGTTCGCTTTGTTGTGGCATTAAAACATGGTATACGATTTAGTGAAGAGGATAAAAATGAATTCTCTAAAAGCTGCACTCGATCAGTTAAAACCACCACAGATATGATAAATTATGTTTTGAAATGTCCAACTTATAAAGTAAAAGAAACCATTACTTAAAACGAAGCTCGTTGTTTAATTATGGAATTATGTGAACCGATAGCAGACATATCTCAAAATATTCAATTAAATATCAAATTGGATATGTAAATTGAATATTCCTCAAGTGAATTTGGAACCTCAAAGTTTAGATTATCCTCGTACCGTTTATACACAATCAAAATGTAAAAAAATCGTTAAAATTATCTCAGAAAGAAAACATCCCAGCTGAAACTTTAGATGTATGATAGAGATTGTATGACCTCATAGTCAACAAAATTTCATATCAAAAGCTTTGATACTGGTTTTTTTTATAGTATAATATGTAGTAACCGAAAAATATCATCAAAATGATCATAGCTTGAGAAAAAAGAAACAACTAGAAAATAAATCATTATAGGATTTGAGTACACTCTGTAGACTCTACCTTATAATACAAGTCTCATCTCGACAGCTTTCCATCGTAAGAGGAGAATGAAATAGTCTAGACAGTATTCCAATCGCCTATAGGACTGCCAGAGTGTAGTATCCAAAACACTGTTCGACAAATTTTACAAATGTCTACAAAATATTTGAGTTAATAGTCATTTTCTGGATATCGAAATGATTATTTTGTTTTTTTCAAAGCTTTGTATTCCATAGACAAATAGTTCTTTATTGAAAAAAAGACCAGTATACTTTGCAAAACAAAAATTTCATTTACCATCGATTGATCAGAATTAACAAATTTATCTGCATAACATTTCATCACAAACGAATTGTTCATGAATCGAGATACGTCAAAATAAAAGATTATCTGTCTCGATCAACGAATGTCTTTGTTGTCAAGATATTAGTCGAAAGTTTATTCAAACGAACGTCATCATACTAAACAGAGCTGCCTGATCTGACTTTTACATTTTGGAAATCAAATGTGGGCACATCGCCTTACTAGTCGAGAGTACTTTGACAAATTCATTCGAATCCAACAATAAACGATAGGACCAAACGTAAGTTTAGTGTCATATAGGAAAATTTATTTGTCAAATGTAAATGTTCTTGTCTGTTATTATAATTATACTATTACGATTGTATTTTTTTGTGATTTTGCAAAACAGAACTGATATGATCAAAAAACATTATGTTAATTCAAGTCTTTTCTGTATGAAAAATTTTTATATTGTCTCTTTGTTTTAATTTCCTATTTCGTGCAAGAATTTGTTGTTATCTTATCTTTATGGAAATGAATTCACTGAACAATTCAAACTAGAATGATACAATAATCGGTTTGATCTGGCCTGCTAGCAGTTCTGATCCTGAATCATAATGAAAAAAATAATTTCAAGTTTTATGCTACTCTTCAAACTTTTATACGAATAAAAAATGATACAAAAACGATTATTTCTTTTTACGATCTGTATATTCATTTGTTAGCATAGATCAGAAATTTGACTATTCTGGAGTCATATTTATTTTTGTTTTCCCAAAAGAAAAATTCTATTTGTCATCATATGAATTTGATGTTTATTTGATGAAAAACATAATTAGAAAAAAAAAACCATGATGACATAAAAACAACAACTAAAAACAATATTTTTGTATGTTTCCATTTCGATAGTTGTTGTTGTTGTTGTTGATCATTATTCTTTTAAAATTGGTTTTCAAAATGTTTCTTTATGCTTTCGATTCTGATAATCGTGTTGATGAACGACGTTTTGATTCACTACGTTTACGTTCACGTTTTTCTTTGGCATATTGTTGAAGTAATTTAGCATATCTATAAAGAAATAATTCACAAAAAATGTGTAAACAAAAGAATTCTTATTTTCTTACTCATTTTGAAGTACACGTTGTTTTTCAGCACGTCGTTTTTTCAATGCAACTGTACGTCTTTTACGTTGTAGACGTCTTGGTGTTATTAAACGTTGAATTTTTGGTGCTTTAACACGTGGTTTTTTACCTTCTTTTGTTAATGGTCGTTTAACAACATATTTACGTACATCATCTTCTTTACTTAAATTAAATAATTTACGTATATGATTAGCACGTTTTGGTCCAAGACGACGTGGAATTGTTTTATTAGTTAAACCATCAATATCTTGTTCACCACGTTTTGTAACAACACATGCCAAAACAGATAAATTTCCATCAACAATACAACCACGAACGGATTTACGTTTACGTTCACCTTTTCGTCGTTGACGATAACATTTATGACGTTTATCAAGTAATAAACGTACACGTTGATTTGTTAATACACCTTGCATCATTGGAAAACCTTGTTTATCATTTCCACCTGTTATACGTAATGTATAACCTTTCCATTCATTTCCCAAACAACTAGCATCAACTTCTTGAGCAATACGTTTTTCCATAAATGGACGTAATTTACGATCATCGTCAATATCAATTAATTTTTGACAACCCGTTACAGGATAAGCGATGTTTAACTTCATGATGATAGAAGTTTACTGACGTGAATCTTAAAAAAAAAAACCAAAAGAAAAAATAAATATTATGTCCGAAATGATACATCGAAGAAAAAGAATTCTAATTGGATATAATCTAAAATCTTATAGATTCATTAATGTACGTATATAAATATCGATTTAATTTCAAATCAAAACTATATTTATTTTACTAATAAGATCTAAGAAATGAAGAAAAAACAACATTGTACAATCCAATCTATAAACTATGCAACCAATCATAGATTTCAATGAATAAATTGGGAGAGGACTGAAATATTATCTAGCGCACTCTATAATAAAAATAAAAGATATCTTTTATTTAGATGTCGTACAAAGTCATGAGTAGAGATTTAGAATATCATTTTTGTTCAACATTTCTATCATCAATAGTAGTATATTGCTATGAATCTCATCTAGAATAACAAATTAGATAAAGCATTAATATATCGTTAGTCGAGCATGAACACTATGTTGTAATGACCACTTGATACACTCACCGATCAACCGCTAAAAAATCACAGCGAATTATAGTAGTGGTTGATTTCTAAATACCGAACAAAGGATCTGAATTTCACAGAAATTTAAGAAAACTGAAGTTCTTTTTTTTATTGCAGTTCACAACGTTTTTTTTAAGTGCCAGAAATCAGTAGGATTGATTCCAGATAAGTCACCTTACTATGATATAAACATTACAAAAATTATGAAAAGACACCTTATAGATAGCAGGACGCAACATTTTCATTGTTGTCATGTACACAAAATGTACAACGACAATAGTGTCCATTACATCTATTTTGACTCCTGAAAACTGCTCCTTTTCTTGTAAATACCGTGATGGGGCAAATTTCGATTTTCTCGTGAGTTATCAGCATTATTTTCGTTGTTGTCAATGTATGACAACATAGAAAAAAGAGTGTGAATGGTTGTTTTTCTAACGATCTCTTTCTCTATGATATAGGAATTATTTATTAAACATATAAATACTTTACGAATAAACATGTATGCTTTATATTCACAAAGAAAAAAGAAAATCAAATAAAAAACATTCGTCTCGACGTAAAAGATTCTTTAATAATATTAATTATTCAAAACGGTTTGTTAGATTTTTTTTTCTTCTTCAATAATTCAATATAAATTTAACGATTATTATAAAAAAAAACATGAATATTTTGAAAGATACATATCTTGAAGAGACTTAGTGAAAAAATTCTGAATTTTGTTTCTACAAGTTAGCCTAATTAATATCTTTAAGTGGATAAAGTTTCAGATTAAAATTCAAATATATGATTTCGCTTAAAAACTGAAACCCTGCAGGAAAAATCCACTAAATATTTCAAATTTCAGCAGCTCAAAAGCAATTTATCCTGTGAAGACCTTTCCTTCTTAGTAAAATGTCGATATTAACAACTATAGAGATGACGCTAGCTAATGATACAAAGGAAATCGAAAGAATAAAAACAATTCGAACGAAAATATATTACAATGAGATCCTTGGCTATGATCAATTTCTTTATTCAAACATCTGCTCAATTGATCCAGTTATAAAGTGATATGAACAAGTCTGTTAAGAGATTCGTTGTAGAACTGATAGAATGAGTCATACTCAGTAGTTATTAGATCATAGAAAAAAAAAGAATAAGGAAACCGTAGCGGTATTTGGGGTGTGACTCTGCATGAAAATTTGAATGGCGCATCGAAAACTTGCAAAATTTTTTTCTAAAGGTATTCGAAAAAAAATCTTTCAAAAAACAAAAAAATATATATATATTACGATATCTAGGATCAATACCTTCGAATAAAAAAGAAGAACATGTTATACCACAAACTATGGATCAAGTAAAATATAAAATTTTATCTTTTTATTTTAACTTATTTTATACTCAGACTGAAGCATTAATTGATTTATATTCAACATATGTTCATCCAATAAAATCTTCATATCAAACAAATTCGAAAAAACTTCATCAGAAAAAAAATTCCATATCAGTTTTAAAACAGGTTAGAATAAAAATAAATTATTTTATGAAATATATATATATATATATGTTACAAAAAATTCAGCGTGAAACTGGTCAAATAAATTTTCATCGTTATCCAAATGCACGATATAATTTGATGGATAGGTAAATTATTTTTTACTTGAAATTTGAATTTTTCTGTATTTCTCTTCATTCGTCTTTTTTTTTAAAGATTATTGCCAAATGAAGGTGAAGTTATTGCTTCAA